ATTAATCCTGTCTGAGGGCCATGCCCCTAATGACCTAATTACCTTGCACTAGGCTCGACCTCTTAAAAAGATCCACCACCTTTCAACAATGCCACACTGAGAAGCAAACTGCCAACACATGAACCACTAGGTCCATATTCCAACCACAGTACTTCCAAAAGGAAAAGGACTGTCAGATAATCAACTAAAACAAAATTATTCAAAAACTATAGTCAAGAAGCATCATCTTAGGAAGCTGGGGATGTAGTTCAAGGTCAGATCACTTACTGGCATGCCCAAGGCCCTGGGTTCTATCACCAGTATCCCCCACACACACACACAAACCACTATTGTCTATAAACAAACTGCTCAAAAATACTGTGCACACCAGGCCCATCATTCGTTTGTTTGCTGTGGCTATAACCACAACCAACCCTGGCAGAAAAATGCCAGAGGGCCACAAACAAATGCATGCAAAGTATGTTCTTTAACTGAATTTCAGACCACAATCCACATTTGTTTTTATGTGTAATGAAACCCTGGGCAACCTGCTAACATCCCAAGCAAGAAAAGTACTTCTGTGCACATAATACAGGAACCAATTTTTCCAGCTTTGGACATTTTCAATCTTAACTGGAACCTCCTCACAATTGATCATGTAAGCAGTTCTGAGTAGACAAAAAGAGCATTAATATACAAAATATATGGTTAATCAGTAGGCCTATCTGTTCTATGACACTGATTACAACTGTAAAGTTTCAAAATAAAAAAGTGTAAAAATGAAAAATGCTGTTTATTGAGTAGTTTTGGACACAAGCCTAAAAAGCTTACACTCTCTAATCATTCTGCAGTTTTACCAAACTTACAGCGTCACTTAAGTTTCGAGTTAAGGAAAAAAGTCTTCAAACACATGTTAAGGAACTATGGAGACTACTTTGATCTACTAACTGATGCCTTACTTTCACCTAGCAACAGCAGAACTGCACCCATATTTTAAAGGTAAAATATCTAAACTAGTAGTACGTTTTCTGCAGAGGCAGTTATTGGCTAAGGCACTTTTGAAAAAGAACTAAAAAAGCAAGCAGGCCAATGTTAAAAATCGGGCCATGATTATGCAAGATTCAAGAGTTCAGTGGGATGTTCCAATCCCTTCTCTTTGAGGAATGGAACTGACCTTGGCTTAGCTTTCAAGCTCAGTTCCCCCGGAAATCTGAAGGTGGACAGTCACCTATGTGACTAGGCAAGGCTGCTTCTGGTAAAATGCTCTGGGTGGTACCCTGCTTCCATGTTGGAAGGGCTGTGAGTTAACATAAATACATGATAGGAGCCACATCTTAGGCTCCCTGACTACGGTGCATCACTTGTTCCTAGGCTCTGTCCCTGGCCAAGACCCAGGGATGCCATATGCACAGGAACAGGTCCTTTATGGGCTCTAAAGTATATGGGCTCCTGCACTCTTCTGTGTAGTCTGTGCAAGCTGCTGGGATAATCCTCAGGGATAACCTCAGTGCCTTTAAGTCACTCCCTGGCATGCCGTCTGGCCTATCCCCTAACCTTTACAATTGACTGGTGTCAGACATGGCCTTTCCATGTCTTTGGAGTTTAACACTGTAATGGAAACCAGCACCAGCCGTGATGGATGTTGCACATGTACTCAGTCATGTCTTCAGAGGCAACCTCATCCTGCATTTAATATGCTATGGCTTAGATCTGAGGTCTCCTCCAAAAGCCTCATGTGTCTGGAAGGTGAATGGATCATGGGGCACTATAGTGAATGTGCTGAATGTGCTGTTAGAATATTGAGCCTGGTTCGAGGTAGGTCACCGGGGACATGACCTGGAAAGATGTACCTCCCTTCCTGGCTCCTCCCTTTTCTCTCCGCTTCCTGGCCTCGGTGACATGTATGGCTTTCGCCTACAGGAGGCTTTTCCACTACACTGGTTCTGCCTTGGAGACAGCCAACCATGGACTGTAACCATGAGCCAAAATATACCTCTCCTCCTGTAAGTTGCACATGTTAGGTATTTTGTCCCGGAGACAAGAGAAGTGACTAAGACAACACCAAATAGGCATCAACAGAGCTGTCAAATGGGTATGAGATTAGAACCAAAAAAGACATCTTTGAAAGATGGGTTAAGGCCTTTAAAAGTATCACTGAGTTTTAGAGCTGAGAATTACAAATATACAAAGAAAGGGATTAGGAATTGAACATTTTTATCACTTAGCTATTAGCAATCTCTAAGTAAAAGAGCAAGTCATAGTAAAGAAAAAATTCACCCAGAATCTACACTTGGGTTTTTGTTCTGGTTGTTACATGTAGCCACTTTGTGGCCTTGGATAAGGTGCTTTCCCTTACAGACATCTGTAACTCTATACTGAAGAGATATGGGCAGCAGGGAAAGATGAGAAACAAAATTCAAGGCAAGGAAAAAACATGAATTTAGAAAAATGTTACATAATAGACAATAGATGGAAGAAAGAAAAAATTATTTTGCCTTGTATCTGCTTTAAATTATATCTGCAAAAGATGATCCTAAGCATTAAGATTGATAATACATACAATTTTATAAGCTTTTCCCTGTTGATCTTTGCTAAAAGAGCTTCACTCATTTCTCAACATACCTGAATACTCCCAGCCTGTGTCAAACAAGCTCTATTTGACAAAACTATTCTTAACTCCAGATAATAAAATGCTAAAATCTTTGACTCCATAATTTAATTTTTGGTAATCTAGTTTCAGGAAAAATCCTAAATACCAGAAAAAAGCCTTCTGTAAAAACATAAACTGCTGAATTATTTACTTATAATATACTTAAAACTTTAGGTACAACCCAAATGTCTTATAGGAGAATGACAGTATATTATGGTTCATTCATGAGGATTGTACTATGAAACCAGTAAAATGATGTTAATAGCATTACATAAGCCAATTTCATGTTAAATGAAGAAAGTACAAATAAAATTATAAGGAAAATTTTAATTTAAAAAAAAAAACTATACAAAGAAAAGAAAAACATATATTGAGGGGGACTGCAAGTGGAACTTAAAACAGCTTTTCTTCCTAGTTTCTAATCTTTTCAAATGACATCTCTTTTACAATGGAAAATAACCCACTACAACAGAAACAATCTGGCAGCAACAAGATTTAAGTACCTTTCTTTCATTTAATTAACCATTCTTCACTCACATTGGTCTTACAAATTTGTTGAATAATAAACCCAATTTTTATCCTATAAATCTTCTATCTAAAGAGTTTTATTTCTTCATATTCTTTGTGTTACCTAAAAATTCACAGTTAGATCTTCATGGACTTTTAAGACAAAATAAATATGTTAAGAGAAAATCATTCCTGATCTAACAAGGACATTTTGTACCAACATATTTACCATAATAAAGTTTAGGGAGAAACAGCACTTATAAGAACTCAATACGTTTATAAATCTCAAATTCTGAAATATGGGAATTTAAAATTATGAAAGAAAAACTGAATCAAAGAACTTCAGCATCTTTCAGGTTAACCTCTTAATGGCTTGCTTACCTGTATTCCTTCCAAAGTGATTTTATGTTGTTTCTATGTACATAAAAAGTTCTTAGAACACGCTAGTTATGCACAGGTAAATAAATTTTGTAAGTGAAAAGACCTCTGTTAACTTTATAAAGATGGTTGTGGGGACTGGGGATTTAGCTCAGCGGCAAAAGCGCCTGCCTGGCAAGCGCAAGATCGTGAGTTCGGTTCCTGGTACCGGAGAAAAACAAAAACAAAAACAAAAAAAAACAAAAAAAAAAAAAAAAATTTAAAAAAAAAAAAAAAAGATGGTTGTGGTCTGAATGTTTATGTCATCCCCAAATTTAGACGTTGAAACCCTAACCCCCAGGGTGATGGTAGTAGGACAAAGGACCTTTTGGAAGTGAGCAGAGCACTCATGAATGGCATTAGTGCCCATAGAGAAGAGGCCCAAAGGAGTTCCTTAGTCCCTTAAACCATGTGAGGACAGAGCAAGAAAGTGCTATGAAGCATAATGAAACCCTCACTAAACACTCAATCTATCCGTACTTTGATCTTACAGTTTTCCCAGCTTCTACAACTGTGAGAAGTAAACACTTGTTTATAAGCCACCCAGTCTGTGGTATTCTATTATAGCAGGCCAAACAGATTAAAACAAAATAGCCATAGAAAAAAAATGTCACATGCCACAGTTTCAATATCACTGTTTTGTTTTAATAACATGAAATACAAGTACAAAACATTGTACAAGTATACTTTTCACTACACAGGGACAGAATAATACATTTGTGTTTTTACTCAAATCTGTATTACCCAGTACTTGCCACTGCACCAATGGCTTTCCACAGGGACTTTTTTTTTCTTTTTATTATTCCTATGCAGGTTTATCATGAATAAAAAGGCTCACAATTCTTTTCAACCTTTGCAGATTTATATTTTATCTTAATATTATGTTAGAGAACTGTTAAGAAATATAAAATTACCTAAGCTAAGGGTTTCGAATGCGTAGTACTATTTCACATTGGCCAAGATCTCCCTTATGATGGTACTGGAAAGACAATGTGTACTTATTTGATGTTAGAAGTGTTGTAGCAGTCGCCCTCTTACTAGGTAGGAAGGCAAACTAGCATTTTCTGAAAAGTTCAGAGTATCTTAATAGTTATTGGTCAAGCAGTAACTCACGAAACCCCAATGACGGAAGACAACAGGAACAGAGGACTATAAAGTCCTACAAGTACTAAAAAAATAAGTTTACAAATACTGAAACTGTCTTTTCTACCTTGAAAATCGTTTAACCACGTAAGTCAATAAGAAGTAAAGTGTGCTAATGCCCAGCATTCAGCTTCCATAGCATACCTCACAGTTTTCCACTGATTTCAGTTAAGTGTTGCCTTTATAACTGATGTAAAACAAAAGAGGAAAGCACTATTAATTTTGCTTGGAAATGTGAAAAAATACTGTTAATTTCATAAAGTATTTGAAACTAATTTTGTTTTTATAAATAAATAAAATGGTGTTTATCTTTTTTTAAAAGTTTTAATCATTCTCGCTGTTAAAAAAAAAAATCAAAGTTATGTCAATCTTGAAGGAAAACTGCTGGGGAATTTAAAGTTACATGTTTGGAAAACTGAATCACATTTTTAATTGCCAGCTAATATTATGCTTTGTTCTTGGTAGAATCATCTTTATTTCTTCTTTTGACATCCCAATTATAAACTCTGGCCATATCTGCAAGAATTGTCAAAGAAAATGTAAATGCAATTCATCTTTAGACATATGCAATGACAAAATGTCATGAATAAAAAATACAGAAATTACACACATAAAAATACTGGTAACAACTACTTTTGCCAGCCCCCTTGCTATATTAATTGTTAAGAAAAAACTGGAATTAAATACTACAAAACTAGGTCAAAACCTCTAATCAACAATTGTTTAGCAAATCTCACTGACTATGGTATTATATTTAATAAATATGTACTAGATACTCTCAACATTATTTTTGAGACAATTCTTGCTATGTTACCCAGGCTGCCTTGGAACTTGTGGGCTCAGCTCAAGTGATCTTCCTGCCTCAGCCTCCCAAGTAGCTGGGACTATAGATGTGTGCCACCATGACTGGCTCAACAGTTTTAAAGATATTCCCTCATCCATCAAATTTCAAAAGATTACTCAACTCATACCCAACCATGCAGTATCTATAATTAGTACAATTATCAATGACTTTATTCCTACTCTTCCTTTGGTTTAAGACGGCATTCATTCAGTTTGTTAAGCATCTACTGTGTTTCAGACTAGGTACTCTACAAAGCCTTGAGTAAGTAAGACAGGTGAAGTCTTCCTCTCATGGAGCTTAAACTCTAGTAGATTGGTACATACATCACATACTGGGTGCCCCAGCTTTCTCTGGTGTCTGTACATCACCCTACCTTTTCCAACACTAGCAATAATATGTAGCACTTCACTAAGCTTTTAGGACTCACTTTAGATTATGCCCTTTCTTTCGGTTCCTAGAATTAAGTCACTATTTTTCCCTCATATTTCACATCTTTCCACAAACACCAGCCTGCCCAGATCCCTGTCACCTCACAGATGGATAAAGTCTCTTCACACCAGTTAGATAATAATCCCCGCACTTGGCCTCAAACAGGCCTGTCTTCTCTCACTCAGGTACTAAGCACCTACTACATCCTACGTGCTGGAGAAGAAACTTTAAGTTGCTCCTATACTTGAAGACCGCACAACTGGGCAAGGAAAATAAAAAACTGTATGTAAAGTGCTAAGTAAGCACAGAAGAACAAAAAATGTAAGGAAAGTTCAGATGCTTTACTCAGGTATGAAGAATTAAAGAATACCCCCAGGTGGAGGGTAAACCATTCCAGGTAGGAAGAACACAGGAGAAATGCAAAAGGCATGGTACACTTAAGGGGTGAGGAGAAATACTGGCTGCAGTTATCTGGAGCCTACAGTGCCATGGGGAAAAGCCAGGGCAGGAAAAGGTCATGGCATGAGGCAAGACTGGCCAGGGACATTTGAGTGGCTATCTGTGTAACTTACACGCAATAAGTAACTGTTGAAATATCAAAACCAGAAGACTAAAAATAAGGTACATGATTTAGTAACCTCATGCTAAAGGTAGTGTGAAGGACATACAGAAAACGACTAAATGCATGTCCTAGATGGCTAGAACTAGAGTAACAGCAATACGCAGAAATTTATGAGGGAAATTGGACAAGAATCTGATGATAGGTTTCCTCTTGGAAGTAAGGAGAGAGAAGTGTGAAGGATGACCCCCAGGTTTTTATACTGAGTGACTGAGAGCAACCAGAGAAGGAGAGAGATCAAAGAAGAAACGTTGAAGAGCCTGGTTTCGACATACCTGCCTACCTTCGTGACCAGAATACCTCATTTCACCTTTTCTCTACATGGCCTCTGAAAACAGCCTAAGTTTCACCTTCCTAACAAAGGGTTCCCTGACCTAACTCCAGCTTACAATGGTCTTTCCAAACTTGAAACTACCCGGGGGTTGTGTATGATGTGAACTTACTGAACAGTTCACTATGCAGTTATCACTTAGCTTTTTACATGTGCAGCTTTAACAGAGAAACACTTTGCATCTTGGTTTTCATCACCCTGATGTCCATGCTCAGTGGGTTACCACAGTTGCAGAAACACAGAAGATTCTTTTGTTTTGTTTTGTTTTTCTCCGGTACCGGGAACCGAACTCACGACCCTGCGCTTGCCAGGCAGGCGCTTTGCCGCTGAGCTAAATCCCCAGCCCCAGAAGATTCTTAATAAATGCTTACAGTACTAAACTGCTTAACTGACCATAAAGTTATCTTCAAAAAACATTTGAGAGAAAAATATTCGTTCACCAATGTGAATTTCTACACTATCACATTTCAAATTCATTAATTTATCTGCAAACTTATTAGTTTCAAATCTGTTATTAAATCTGTAGACTCACATTAATCTAAGGACATTTTATTAAACCAATAAAAGAATTTTAAAAATTTCTGCCTTCTTTCTTCTCTTCATTGTTTTAAGAAAGGATACTGACTTCTGTTGTAGTAAATTGATCTCGAAGAAAGTCAAGGTCTTCCTCCAGAGAATCAAGGTTCTTCGTGGCAGTTGATAAATTCTTTTCCAACAAAGCCTGAGCTTCATCAATATCATACTCAAGCATTACATTAGCCTGAAGAGAGAAAGTCATGACAATTAACATTTACACAGTGCTTTTATAGGTTAGCAGGTACCTTCCAACTATTGCCCTCAGGGCAAAAGCAGTATGCTGCTTTATCTTTCCTGCTACAGAGGCAGACCTGAGAAGCTGGGATAAAGACTAGCCAATCAAACCAAACCAAACCAAACCAACCAAACCAAAAATATGTACTACTTTGGCCTTTTAGAGTAAGTCTGCTGACTCCCAGTTTAGAGAATATATATATATATATATATATATATATATATACACACATATACATACACACACACACACATACATTGTATCACTTAATCCTCATTAACAACCCTAGTAAGGCAAAAGTTTTCTTTATTTACAGTTAAGAGAATGAAGGCTTAGAGTCATCAGGTTGCCTATACTCCCACAGCTTGTAAATTAATGAAAGGAGACCAAAAAATGAGATATTCAGGATAAAAACCAGTATGTTTAGATATAAATATCCTATTTTTCTGATATATAGATTTAACGTAATCCCAATCAAAATACCAACAACATTCCTCACAGAACTAGAAAAAAACAATCCTAATATTTATATGGAACCAGAAGAAGCTCAGAATAGCAAAAGCAATCCTGGGCATCTAGAGGAAGGCGGGGGCACTGTAATCCTGGATCTCAAAGTTATATTACAAAACTACAAAGACGAAAAGAGCATGGTACAGTACTGGCACAAAAACAGATATGCATATCAATGGGACAGAACAGAGGATGCAGAAATAGCCCCAGGCACATTCAGCTATCCTAGGGGTCAAAAACAGCCTATCTCAGTGGTGTGAAACCTAGACACGTGTGTTATTCATGCTTCTTTTAAGACAAAAGATGTTAATGTATGAGTTGTTTTTCTAAACTAAAACCTTAGTATTCAGGTTTAACTGCAGTGTTGGCACTTTGTGATAAATAAGTGGGTTTGGGGTTGCAGTCTGGGCCCTCATCTCTAAAAGGTTCACCATCACTGCCCTCAAAGAAAGATCACCTCTTTATCAAACAGGGCTGGAAAAACTGGCTATCCACACCCAGAAAAACGAAGCTAGACTCACACCTCTCAAAAGAAATCAAAATGGATCAAAGACCTGGATATCAAAACAGAAACAATCTGCTGGAAGATAAAATAGGTAAGACTCTTGAAGACAGGCATAGGTAAGGACATTTAGAACAGAGCACTGACTGCACAAGAAATAACAAGAATCAACAAATGGGATTATATCAAATTAAAAAGCTTCTTCTGTATAGCAAAGGAAACAACCAACAGAGTGAGGAGACAAACTACACAACAGAAAAACTTTTGCCCAGTACTTAGAGGAGCAATTCCTAGAATATATAAAGAACTCAAAAAATTTAGATCCCCCAAAATAAAAGACCCGATCAGAAAATGGACCAGTGAAATGAACCAACATGTCTCAAAAGAAGTAGAACAAATGGCCAATGAAGTACATGAGAAAACGTTCAACATCTCTGGTCACTACAGGAATGAAAATTAAAACAACTCTGAGATTCCATCTTATCCTAGAAAGAATGGCCATCATCAAAAAAATAATAACAAGTAGTAAGGCTGTGGGGAAAAAAGGAACCCTTCTACATTACTGGTAAGAATGTGAACAAGTACAACCACTACAGAAATCTGTATGGAGATTCCTCAAAAAGCAAAAACTAGAAATTTCATTTGACCCAGCTATTCCTTTTCTAGGTATCTTCCCAAAAGAGTTAAAGACATTATATTACAGTGATACACTGTATACCTATGTTTGCAGTAGCATAACTCCTAACAGCTAAATCCTGGAAGTGACCTGTACATCCATCAACAGATGAACAAATGATAGATATCTAAGAGAATAAAAAACATATATGTAATACATTATATATATGCCATAAAAAGGATAAATATGGGTCATTTGTAGGAAAATGGATGGGTCTTGAGATCATAATGTTAAAGTGAAACAAAGCAGGCACACAAGCTGAAATATTACATAGTTTCTCTTATATGAGGAGCTCAAAATATAAATAAAAAGCAAAATAAAAGATAACAGGAAATAGTGAGATCGCTATTTTGCAAAAGGGAAGAGGACCAAGAGATTTGGGGAGGGGCAAGTAAAGAAAACTAAGATGTGTTATATACATGTACCAACTCCCCACAAGGAATGTAATCATTATGTACTGCAAACACATACACAAAAGAAATCCTATTTTCCTACCACTTCCATTATGACACTAAACAATAGTACTTTTGAATCAATTTCAGTAGTTATGTCTGAGCTCTCGATACAAGATTAATTAGAGGTTTTTAAGACTTTCTTCCTGTCTACATTTGATCAGGTAAATAAAAAAAACAAGCTAACTTTTATTGGCCCCTTCCTATAACACAGAAGCTAGGAGTAAAGGCAAGGTGATGTACTTGGAATTCTGAAGATCTGTTGTTACTGCAAATATCTAAAGTGCAGATTAAGTACTTATTTACTGAATAACACAATTTATAACAATTAGAAAACTATAAAAATTCAAACAGGACAAAAATAATCAATCAAAAGTACATGTCTTTCCAATCCTGGACACCTGACCTCCTTCTTGAGGGTCAATTACTGTTATTTTTTATGATTTATCATCCCTAAATTTTCTATACTTCATTTATTTTCTACAAGCAATAATAGAATACATTTAAAGATAAGTGACATTATCGTTATCATTTGTGACAAAAAACATTCATCATTCATTCAGCAATGCCAAGTATTTCTCCTTACTCCCTCAAACATGGCCTTCCCAGCGTCTCCACTTGAGATGTGTCAAGACTGACATACCCAAAACACATTTCTAAATTACCCCACAAACCTGGCTCTTCCCCATTCCACCCTCCTTGGCAAGTTGCTACCCATCCAATAACACAAAGCCTAGAGGGGTCATTCTCCTTGGTTTCTCTTTCCTTTAGCCGACATTCCATGAGCACATGAGGACAAGATGATTTCATAAATGAAAATGGGACAACAGTAACCTCTCTAGTAGGAAATATAGTTGGGGCCTACATCACACCTGACAAGAGCATGAATTCTGAATAGATCAGATATTTACATGAAAATAATGAAAGTACTAGGCCAAGTCACAGATAAATTATTTTGTAACTCTGGACTAAAGATAGTTTTTCTATCTTTCTGCTGGGCATCTTTCTGGTGGTAGCAGGCCTGTAATCCCAGTCACCTGGGAGACTGAGGCAGGTGGATTGTTATGGTTTGCATCTAGATGTCCCCCCCAAAGCCTCATGCTGTTTTTCGCCACCATGAACTGTTGCCCTCTGCCATGTGCCACTCTGCTTTGGGGCCAGCTGATTATGGACTGAAACCTCCACAAACTGTGAGCTAACTAAACCTTTCCTTCCTTAAATCTGGGTATCAGGTATTTTGTTCCAGCAATGAGAGAAAAGTAGCTAGGACACGGATCAAAAGTCTGAGACCAGCCTGGGCAACTTAGTGAGACTCTTGTCTCAAAATAAGAAAAAATAAAAGGAGCTGGGGACATAGCTCAGTGGTAGAATGCTTGCCTAGCATGTGTCAGAGCTAGGGGGAATGGTTGTAGGTAACAACCACAAGCAAAACAATGAACAGGAAAAAATGGAACTAATTCTCCCTAATATACAGAGCTACGTAAGAGAACAGCAGTTCATAGTCCAACACAAAAACTAGGCAAAGGATATGGACAGAGCTCACAGGGGAAGCAGGGAAGAGGGAAAGGAAGAGGGAAAGGGGAAGAGAGAAAGGAAGGGAAAAGAAACCAATAAATACAAATAATTCAGAATCATTATAAGAAGATTAAGTATCTTCCATCATATAACAAAAGCAACTATAGCTGGGAGAGATGGCACACACCTATAATCTCAGCACTCGAGAGGGTGAGGCAGGAGGATCATTGAGAGTTCAAGGCTAGCTTGGGCTAGCACATAGTGAATTCAAGGCTATCCTGAAATACAAATGCACATCCTGAACTACTGATGCAACTCTAACTGAAAATAGAATGAAAAAATATTGTCCAACTTCAGGGTGACACAGGTTTAAAAGTTTAAAATACTTCTTGTTGCTTTGAATGTGAGAATATAAGTATTAAAATACTGGCAGTAAAAACTGGTAAACCCTATGAAGGGCAACTGGGAAGTATCAATGAAAGTCAACTCTTTGAGCTGGCAATTCCATATATCCTACAATTATACACTTATGAAAAATTCAAATGTACTAGACACACTGGTATAATGACAAAACATAAAAGCCAAATGGCATAGCTACCCAAGGAAGTTATAAAGGCATGAAAAGTAAAAATGAGACCCTGTCCTCACACTGATGCCTAAAGATCTGCAATACTCAGTATGAAATGAAACGGGCAAAAGGCAGAACACTGTGCAAAGTATGTTACCATTTGTGTAAGTGAGAGGGAAGGATATATTTTTATTTGTCTGTGCATGGTAAAATTTTTCTTTAAGCATATCGCAAAATGAAATGTTGATTGCTTAAGAGGGGGACACACTGGGATTTGTGAGAGACGGTAGACTTTTCACAGTACATCCTTGCTATGGCTGGGTTGTCTGTCTCCCAGAATTTGGGTGTTAGAAACTTAGTAACTAAATTTGCATATTAATGGCATTTGGAGGCAGGACCTTTGAGAGGTAATTAGAGTTAGGTGAGGTTGCGGGAATGAGGCCCACTAGGATGGCATTCGTGTAAGAAGAGAGAGCCCCAACAGCAAGCTTGCTGTATCTAGTCACGTGTGAGCCCGCATCACATTATGACGCAACACATGGCTCTTGCCAGATGCCAGAGTCATGCTCTTGAACTGCTTGGCCTTTAGATCCATGAGCCAAATAATCCTCTATTCTTTATAAATGTCCCAGTCTACAGTACTCAGTTACAGCAATAGAAAAATAAGTAAGACAGTCCTTTTATACCTTAAGTACACGTAAACATATTACCTAGCCTAAGAGATGT